GACACTGCAAGGCTCCAGGCAGACATCAACCAAATCTTTCACTGTGCTGCAGAAAACAATATGAAGTTCAACAATGAGAAATTTCAATTACTCAGATATGGTAAACATGATGAAATTAAAACTTCATTAGAGTACAAAACAAATTCTAGCCACAAAATAGAGTGAAAAACCAATGTGAAGGACCTGGGAGTGATCATGTTGGAGGATCTCACCTTCAAGGACCATGACATTGTATCAATCGCATCTGCTAGAAAAATGACAGGATGGATAATGAGAACCTTCAAAACTAGGGATGCCAAGCCCATGATGACACTCTTCAGGTCACTTGTTCTATCTATTCTGGAATATTGCTGCACAATAACAGCACCTTTCAAGGCAGGTGAAATTGCTGACCTAGAAAATGTACAGAGAACCTTTACGGTGGCACGCATAACGGAGATAAAACACCTCAATTACTGGGAGCGCTTGAAGTTCCTGTACTCCCTGGATTGCAGGCAGGGAGATGCATGATTATATATGCCTGGAAAATCATAGTGGGACTAGTACCGAACTTGCACACGAAAATCACTCACAACGAAAGCAAAAGACTTGGCAGAAGATGCAACATCCCCCCAATGAAAAGCAGGGATGTCACTAGCACATTAAGAAACAATACAATAAGTGTCAGGGGCCCGAGACTGTTCAACTGCCTCCCAGCATACATAAGGGGGATTACCAATAGACCCCTGGCTGTCTTCAAGCAGGCACTGGACAAGCACCTAAAGTCGATACCTGACCAGCCGGGCTGTGGCTCGTATGTTGGATTGCGTGCAGCCAGCAGTAACAGCCTGATTGATCAGGTTCTGTGATCCACCATGAGGCCTGGTCACATGCAATATTGTAATAATTGTATAAATAATGTCAACCCATTCATGACTGCATATTAGAATGGCTAGTTGGACATTTATTGGAAAATGACATCATTTGTTTACTTTTGAACATCGACAAAAATCAAACATTTCCCCTACTTTGAGCTCCATTTCCAGGTTCTTTTCATAGTAAAGCCAATCAAAATCACCTCTGTTTCTATAATATGTTTCCCATTCTATCAAATGAGACCAAGAAAACGAGAATACAATAATAAATACTATACGAAAATAGACCACAAAGTTGGCATTTTAATTAAAAAAAATGGTTGGAATTTTTTTTTCTCATCATGCACTGCATGCTGCAGGATTTTTTTTATATGGTGCACACTGACCACACAGACCCATTCTCTCACATGTGGGCCTACCAGCTTTCTCCTGCTTGATTTGAAGCCGCTAGAATTTGAGTATATGTACTTCAAAAACGGTGGCTCCTAAGATGTATATATATGACCAAAACAGTCAAAGGATTAATAAACACATAGCATCTTCCTTTGCTTTTATCATAATTTGTTAATGATTTTAGGATCATGGACTCCATAGCCCACTCTCAGGCCAAGCCACCTCTTGATTTGTAAAAGAAGTACTGCATTACAGGAATAACAAATATATGTATAAAGAAATGCTTAAGACAGTAAAGATAATTTGTTTCCTCAACAAACTGGCTGTATCCCACGAAAAGACTTGAGTCCTGGATATGGGAAGTACAATGCCTGCACTTTAAAGGAGGGGTTTGGGATATTGGCAGTTTGGAGGGACTTCTGAACTGTTATATCTTAGTGCCTCTGCAAAGTAGTAATTATGTATGAGTGAGGTGAAAGTGTTGAATGATGAAAGTATTTTATTTTTGGGGATTTTCTTTCTTTTTGGGTCACCCTGCCTTGGTGGAAGACGACCGACGTGTTAAAAAAAAAATATACAGGAGAAGGGGTTGCTCCCAGCATTTTAGTTGCCTCTTAGAACATGCATGGCTTACAGAGGAAGAATTCTCTTCCACTTCCCCATGGAGATTAGAGGAAATGAAGAACAAGAACTACGTATTAAGAAACTGGAAGAAAACCCAGATGAGTGTGTAAATATATATGCATGTACATGTTATAAGAAGAGCAGAGTATATGGAGAGTAAAAGAAAGGTGAAGAGAGTGGTGAGAGAGTGCAAAAGGAGAGCAGATGATTGAGTGGGAGAGGCACTGTCAAGAAATTTTAATGAAAATAAGAAAAAATTTTGGAGTGAGTTAAACAAGTTAAGAAAGCCTAGGAAATGTATGGATTTGTCAGTTAAAAACAGAGTAGGGGAGTTAGTAGATGGGAAGAGGGAGGTATTAGGTAGATGGCGAGAATATTTTGAGGAGCTTTTAAATGTTGAGGAAGAAAGGGAGGCGGTAATTTCATGCACTGGCCAGGGAGGTATACCATCTTTTAGGAGTGAAGAAGAGCAGAATGTAAGTGTGGGGGAGGTACGTGAGGCATTACGTAGAATGAAAGGGGGTAAAGCAGCTGGAACTGATGGGATCATGACAGAAATGTTAAGAGCAGGGGGGGATATAGTGTTGGAGTGGTTGGTACTTTTGTTTAATAAATGTATGAAAGAGGGGAAGGTCCCTTTATATAAAGGGAAGGGGGACAAAAGAAATTGTGAAAATTATAGAGGAATAAGTTTATTTAGTGAAGGGATTCAGGGAAACCGGTTATTTTCATATAGTCGGACTTGAGTCCTGGAAATGGGAAGTACAATGCCTGCACTTTAAAGGAGGGGTTTGGGATATTGGCATTTTGGAGGGATATGTTGTGTCGGCGGATGGATTTACGAAGGATGAGGTTAATCATAGAACTGATGAAGGAAAAAAGGTGAGTGGTGCATTGAGGTATATGTGGAGTCAAAAAACATTATCTATGGAGGCAAAGAAGGGAATGTATGAAAATATAGTAGTACCAACACTCTTATATGGGTGTGAAGCTTGGGTTGTGAGTGCAGCAGCGAGGAGGCGGTTGGAGGCAGTGGAGATGTCCTGTCTAAGGGCAATGTGTGGTGTAAATATTATGCAGAAAATTCGGAGTGTGAAAATTAGGAGAAGGTGTGGAGTTAATAAAAGTATTAGTCAGAGGGCTGAAGAGGGGTTGTTGAGGTGGTTTGGTCCTTTAGAGAGAATGGATCAAAGTAGAATGACATGGAGAGCATTTAAATCTGTAGGAGAAGGAAGGCGGGGTAGGGGTCGTCCTCGAAAAGGTTGGAAGGAAGGGGTAAGGAAGGTTTTGTGGGTGAGGGGCTTGGACTTCCAGCAGGCGTGCATGAGCATGTTCAATAGGAGTGAATGGAGACGAATGGTATTTGGGACTTGACGATCTGTTGGAGTGTAAGCAGGGTAATATTTAGCGAAGGGATTCAGGGAAACCGGTTATTTTTATATAGCCGGATTTGAGTCTTGGAAATGGGAAGTACAATGCCTGCACTCTAAAGGAGGGGTTTTGGGATATTAGCAGTTTGGAGGGATATGTTGTGTATCTTTATACGTACATGCTTCTAAACTGTTGTGTTCTGAGCACCTCTGCAAAAACAGTGATTATGTGTGAGTGTGGTGAAAGTGTTGAATGATGATGAAAGTATTTTCTTTTTGGGGATTTTCTTTCTTTTTGGGTCACCCTGCCTCGGTGGGAGACGGCCGACTTGTTGAAAAAAAAAAAAAAAAAAAAACATACATGTGTAGTGTGACTTGGTGTAA